CAATTGAGGAAATGAGCTTAGAGAGTGAAATGGTTTGCCCAGAGTTGCACAGCAAGATATGTCAGGTGGTCAATCACAGAACAAGAAAGCATTCCAAGGAAGGAAGGGAATAGATGGGGAGAGACCTGCCAAGGTCATAGCAGTTTTTTAGGTTGCTGGCATGTGTTGCTGAGGTGATGTGACAGAACCTGCTGCTAAGGTGACAAGGCACAGAACCTGGTACAGGGAATGCTTGGTCCATGGCTGAGCGCTAGGTGTGAGTTTCCTTGGGACCCTCTTTGTAATCAGAAAGCATTTCCTTCTGGGAGGCTGAAGGAGTAAAGTAGAGGAAGTGGACTTGACAAACCTAAGACTGATCCTAGCTGGGCCAACCAAGGACAAGCTATGTGGCCTTTGGCAAGCCACACCCTTCTCTGAGCCTCAGTTTCCTCATTGTAAGATGAGATAATAAACATATTTCCTGCATGGGGAACGGGAAATGTTTTTCTCTTTTTTTTCCCCATTTCTCCCTATTTGATCCTGCTATACTAAAAACCTTGCTAAAGCTCCCCTTCCCCCCCTCCAATCATAATACTCAGGGTGGGAAGACTACTGAGTTATTCTATGTAACTGGACACAGGTAAGTGCTGCCTGTCACCTACTGTCAGCATTACACCAGCCTCTCAAGGAGGTGGAGGTGAGGGGTGAAAGCACTTTGTGAACTGTGCACCTCTGGTGGTGGTACTGGAACTTCCCAGCCCTGCATCCTGCTGTATCAGTCCCTCCATCCTGTCAGCTTCAGTTTGAATTCTCAAGCTGTCTGCAGCCACAGCCTCACAGCCATGGTCCTGGTCTCCTGACCACACCATCACGGTAGGGGACCAGGTTCCAACTCCCCCCATCACTCCTCCCAGCTCCTGGCACTACCTACCTGATGCTCAGAAGTGAAGGAGTAAGAATAAGTTAGGATGAGGAAAGAAAATTGTGTGTACAAGTTTTGTGTGTGAGCCCCAGAGCCAGGACCTGGTGGGGGTCATGTTCTAGGGGCTCTAGAGTCTCTGGGGCTATTCCCAGTCCCCAGATCTGCATTCCCAAACTTAAGATCTGTCACTGATACAAAGAAGGGGGCTGGTCTTTGGACTGAGTTCTAGCAGGTGCCCGGCTGGACTCTTGATGCTCCTAGAACTGTCTAGATGCTAGTGACCCCTGTCCACTGTGAGAGGCATTTCAAATTCCAAGCTAAGCAAAACTCCTTACAACAGTCCCTAACCCCTATGTGATTATCAAAGAACCCTGTAGAGGGACCTACCATATGCCAGGCAGTTTGGTAGGTACTTGGCTTGCAATACCAACTTTCAGAATGGCTTATGGAGTTAAAGTGAATTTGCCTAAGACCCAACTACTAGCAAGAATCCAGCAAAACAGAGAATCTTATTAGACCTGACCACCTTATCAGAGATGGACACATGTCTGGTCTTAGATGTAGAAGGGATCAGAAGCTCAGGGAGGGCAAATCCCTTGCCTAGTTCATGCCCAGCCATTTAGCTTCGGAGCTGAGAACTGAAGCCAGCTTTGGGGGAAGCCAGGGCTATGTCAGAGACTGAACTGGAGGGCTCTGGTTTACTCCCATCACCCTCCTGCCCTCCCTACCCCCTCCTCTCTCATGACACTTGACATTATCCATCACTCCCTCCCCCTGGGAACGCCCTCCTCCTCTAGTTCCCATGGCAACACATTCTCCCCATCCTCCTCCTGCTTCTTCAGCGGCTTCTCCCTCTCCAAGGTGGTTCCTGAGCCTCTCAGGAAAGGGGATCCCCAGGTCAGTCCCCAGTCTCTTCTCTCTTCATTGCTACCCTTGAAAGCCCATCTGCTTTTCCCTGTGGCTCTCTAGCCTTGACCTTGCACTCCAGCTCCACTTTTAGTAACACCTGTTTACCATGTGCTAAAAGCCTCCTTATGAAATGGACCCTATACCTGTGCATTCATTACCTAATTAAATTCTCACAAATACACCATGAAGGAAGTCCACTTTATAGATAAGGAAACCGAGAACTGAGGGGAAAGCCAAGATGTGATTCCAGTCTTTTTTTTTTTTTTTTCCAGTACTGTGGCTTGAAATTATGGCCTTGCTAGGCAGGCACTCTACCACTTGAGCCACTCCTCCAGCCCCTGATTCCAGCCTTAACCACTACTTCTATACATCAAGAATAGATGTGAACTGTAGGACATTTTTTAACCAGGGGCAAAAACTTCCCTCCCACCTCCTGAAGAGAATGGAATGGAAATTTTGGGGGAGAGAGACCTATTCTGCAGTTTTTAGAACCTGTGATAATCTAGAATTACTCTGTCAATTTGGAGCTTTAAAAATGCATCACGCACAGTTAACATTTTGAAAAGCAAAGATTTGGAGAGCTTCAGGTGGAACAAAAGTTCATGGAAAATTGCCCTTTTCCTTTGGAATTTTAAGTCCTCAAAAACCTCATCCCAGAGTTTGAGCTACTAGTCTCCCTACTTCAATGATGCCTGGAATTAACTGCAAACTTAGACTTTGGAATTTTCCCTGGAATTCCATTGACTTGAGTTCCACCACTACTGACAGGCTCTGTGACCCCGGGGCAAGTGGCTTGACCTCTCTGAGCCTCAGCTTTCTTGTCTGAAATGGCATTAGTACTTCCCCCGATGTCATGGGATCAGGTAGTATAATGTGCGTGAAACACTGGCACTGAGCCTGGCATAGCACAGTGCTCACATTGCTCATCCTGTCTTGGGTTTGCCAAACACTTGACCCTCCCCATGCTTTTGCATACACTGTTCCCTCTTTTTGGCGGCCAACTCCTATTCATCCTCTGAAGCCCACAGACCCCTTTCCATCTCTTATAGAATTGCTGCAAACATGCTTTTAGTAAAAAGCTAGAAAAGGCACGTCCCTGTGACACCCTCTCTGGGGCTTTGTCACTTGCCACACTGAGGTGGCAGTCATCTGTTTATGCTTTGTTCCCCAGCACTGGCTCAGGCTTTCTGAGGGCAGGCCATGTCTCACTTATTTCTGGGTCTCGGTACCCAGAGTGCGCAGCCAAGTAGAAAGTAGATTTCAATATGTTTGCACTACCTTCAGTGCAAATGGTCTGGACCCAGGACAAATGTATGTATCAGGAGGAGCAGAAAGCCAGGTCCCTTGTACCCACAGAAGATGGTAGTGAGAGGGCTTGCAGCAGCTTTGAGACAGGCCTGTCCTGGGTGCAGGCAAAGACACAGTCTTAGCAAGGAAAATAAACAGGCTGGCTGCAATGTCACTACTTCCCTATTTTTTCTTTTCTTTTCTTGTTTTTGGCAGTGCTGGGCTTTGAACTCAAGGCCTCACACTTGCTAGGCAGGTGCTTTACCACCTGAGCCACGCCTCCAGTCCATGTGTCCCCTTCCTTGATGAACTCCCTCAAACAGAAATCTCACAGTCACAGAACCCATTTGGGAGGTAAGGGTGAGCCAGATGGATTGAGATCCCAGGTTAGCAGGCTGGGTTTCAGTGGTGGTCACTGTGCCACACTCCAGAGAAGCCATTTTTTATAGGAAAATACACCCAGGTCCAGGTCTACCTGGTGCATCACCCAGAAAAGGGGACCCTTACCCCTCACCCCCACTCCCTGAATGCTACTTCAGTCCCTGTTGGGAGTGACAGCCTTACAGCTTTTGTTCCAAAGAAATGGCTGTCAAGGGGGAAAAAGGTATATTGTTTCTTTCTTCTTCTTCTTTTTTTGTTTGAGACGAAGACGTCAATTTCTTCCCATCTGTCCCAAAAAGGGAAGAGAGTTAAATTTGTTTTTACAAGGATGTCAGCACAGCTGCTTCAATAGGGAGTCTGGGGTGCGTTTCTGAGGCAATGCGGAGTGGGGTGCAGGGAACAAGGACAGACTGATATTGGGGAAAGCAAGGGCCTGGGGGGTGCCTGGATAAAAATCTTATGCCCAACTCTGGATGGACCCACCCTCAGCAGCATGAAGAGTAGAGGGTGGGTGAGTAGAGCAGGTGGGGGGCTGGGAGGCAAAGGGAGAGGGGAGCAGGAGCCCCGCTAGTATTGCAATAAATACCTTCTCCCAGTGCCTGCAGTCAGACCGCATGTGGGCAGTTCCGATTCAGTAGAGGAGATGCATGGGGTACAGCCAGGTGTCAGAAGGGGAGAGAATTCTTCCAGCTTATTAGGGGCCCAAGGGCCTGCACTGGCACTTTTGATATCCCCCGCCCAATTCCAGGTGCCTCTCAGCATACATGGGGTTCTAACTAGGTGGGATTCCATGCTCCAGTACCGGGGCATAGCTGCCAGGACCCTGCGGAGAGGCCACTCTCAGGCTCCAGGACCTAACCTCTAAGCGGAAGCCCCGCCCCTCTGCCTCGGCCCACCCCCCGCCAGCCCTTGGCACACAAGCCTCCTAAGCTTTGGAGCCCAGACTTAGTGGCGTGCCTGTCTCCAAGGACATAGTCCAAGGGAGGAACGGTACGTTTCTCTTTTTCGATATTTCTTTATAAAGAAGTGAAATTGGACCTAGACCTCAGCGGGTCCCACCCGCGCTAGAACTCGGGGCTGGGTCTCCACCTCAAAGTTGAGATCCCACCCCCGGCACACAGGTCCTCTATCTGGAAACCAAATCTTGAACCGCAGCTACCTGACCGTCTTGGTTCTCCGCCTCCCCCCAGAAGAGGCTCCTCGCCACAACACAGAGGACCAATTTTGCACCTCCATTTTCAAGCCACCGTCTCCACCACTGCTCCTGGGTCCTGAATCCTCAGGTCTCAGATTGGTCCCTGATGGTTTAGGGTAAAAACTCGAGGCTGTCCCAAGGTGGAGGTCAAGGCTGTCCTAAGGTGGCGGCTCCGCCCCACTGAAGAGACCCCATCAAGGGACCCAGCTCTAGATTAGCAGGTGCCACCTCCCCCTCCCCCCGGAGTCACTAGTCCCCACCCCCGCTTAACCTAAAACTTTCGACAGTGCAGCTCCAGTCGGAACCAGAGGCCACCCCTCTGGACGGGCCCCATTCCGGATCGTGGCCCACGGGGGTCGGTGTGGCCGCCGGGTCACTGCGGAGGGGTGCGCGCGGGGCCGAGCCGGCCTGGTCACGCGGCGGCGCCACCGCCAGGGCCGTCGGATGGGGTGCAGGCGGTGACGCGCTCGCGGGCCGTGGCTTCCCGCGCGCGGCTGAAGCTGCTGGGCTCCGGGCGGCCGCAGGGCGAGCGGCAGAGCTGGCGGAAGCAGCGCTTGAAGTTCTCGTCGAGGAAGGCGTAGAGCACGGGGTTGAGGCTGCTGTTGGCGTAGCCCAGCGCGATGCACAGGTGCAGCGCGGCCACCACGAGTGGGTCGCGTCGGTCGATGTCCACCAGTGTCCAGACGATGACGAAGATGTGGATGGGGGCCCAACACACCACAAAGGCGCCCACCACCACCAGCACCATGCGCGTGATGCGCCGCAGGCTGCGGTCCTTCTCCTTGGAGCCCGACAGCAGGCGCACACTGCGCAGGCGCAGCAGCATGAGGCCGTAGCACACGGTGATGATGAGGATGGGCACCACGAAGGCGAAGAGGAAAACGCAGATCTTGGTCACGGTGTCCCAGTACCAGCTGGGGCTGGGGAACTGGAGCATACATACCACTGCCCCATCTGGGTCAGAGAAACAAGGAAAGACAAAGGGGGTGAGGGGCCTGTGCAACTAAAGGGCCCTACCTGCTCATCCCCATTTTTTTTTTTTCCAGTACTGGAGTTTGAACTCAGGGCCTACACATTGAGCCACTCCACTAGCCCTTTTTTGTGATAGGCTTTTTGGGATAGGGTCTCTTGAACTATTTGCCTGTGCTGGCTTTGAACCTCGATCCTCCTGATCTCTGCCTCCTGAATAGCTAGGATTAGAGGCGTGACCCAGTGGCGACCAGCTTCATCTCCACTTCTTGGCTTGGTCAAATGCCATCACTTCCTCCTGGCCTTTCCTCAAGGTGATTCTTCTGCCTGGAATGTCACCCCACTACTGTGCTTGATAAACTCCTACTCATCCTTAAGAGCCCAGAGGATTGGCCCTCCTCTTCTGGGAGGTCTCATCTTTATGCCCTCTCCCAGGCCCATAATAAGCTATATCCATGGATAACAGTAATGAAACCATTTATTCCAGTCCCCTCAGTGCCAATCACTGTGGTAACTCAACACCTCACCACCCCCATTTCCAAACTTGCTCCAGTGGGATGGTTCTGAACACTGACTCAGATAGGAAGAGTGAGGAGAATTCAGGCCCTCAACCTCTTCAAGCTTCAGTAGAGTGGGACTAATAACAATATCTAAATCTATATGGAGGGTGAAATAGGTTAAGGTAGTGAGGCATTTAGCACAGTGGGGTTCAAGTGCTTAGTGCACCCACAGGGAAGAGGGGCACATAAATACGGCAGTCCAGAGTGGGATTAGATCTGAGCTAATGTCAAAAACAACATGCCAACACCACAGCTGCCCACAGATAGGACAGGCACCAGGAGGGAATACCCTCCCTATATTTGGGGTGAGGTCATGGGCTGGATAAGCACATCAGAGGATGTGAGGCTGGCTTCAGGGGACTCCTGAGATCTCTTGAAGCCACACAGTGGACTTAGAACCTTAGCGCTAAGAGACAGGGGCTGAGGGTCCACTGACAAAGTGGGTCCCAGGACACTGGGCTGGCAGGACCCCCAGGGACACTGAGTCCAAGATCTTCATCATACAGATGGCAGAACCAGGCCCAGAGAGGAACAGTGCTTGCTTATGTCACAGGGAATGACATACAGAACCAGCAAGTGCTGACGGCATACACGTGGAGAGTGTGTGTGAGAGAGATAGAGAGATAGAGATAGAGATAGAGATAGAGATAGAGATAGAGATAGAGATAGAGATAGAGATAGAGATAGAGATAGAGATAGAGATAGATAGATAGAGATAGAGATAGAGATAGAGAGATAGAGATAGAGATAGAGATAGAGATAGAGATAGAGATAGAGAGAGAGAGAGAGAGAGAGAGAGAGAGAGAGAGAGAGAGAGAAGAAACAAGGAGGACCGTCTGGCCCAGCCCCAGCGGTGCTGCAGTTAATTGCTTGTAAACTGAAGGCTGACAATGAGGAATGGAGGCCTGTGCTGAGTCAGACCAATTACTTGGAGGTTGTCTAAGGGCACCAGGGGTTATGCCCTTGTAGGGGCCAAGAAGCCTCCCAGCAAGGCTGTTCCCCTCTTCCACCCACAGTGCTGAGCCTCTGCAAATCTCTACCCAAAGGGCTATATGAGCAACAGACCTGAGGGCAGAAACCTTGGGTTACAGGCCATTCCACCAAATTCCTGGCCATGTAGTCCTTAGTAAACTACCTGACCTCTCTGATCCTTTTTCTTACAGTCAAAGAGAGGCAGGAGTTCCTGCCTTGTCTATGGCATAGACCTAATCATTTAACAGCTACATTTATGAGGCCTTGGCAATGAGCCAGGCCTTTTCCCAAGCATTCTACACATATTACTTCATTTAACCTCCACACTCTGCCAGTTAGAGTGGCTCAGAGAGGTTAATTACTAACATTTTAGGCACCTATTTAGATTACATTTGCCACTTCCTTACATCAAGGTGAAGCCACGTGACCAGCTATCACTAGGAAGGGAAGGGCCGTGACATTGAAAAGCGGCTGTGCTTTCTCCCTACTCCCTCTCCATATTCATCCACTGACCAGATGCCAACAGTGGAAGATTCAGGAGCTTGGATCCACTCGTGACTGTATTCCTCCTACTCCCAGTGAATTGCGACGTGAGTGGGCTCTGGGGATGTTTGTTAGAGCAGCTACAGTCAAGAATACAGGTAGTGACTGTCACGATTACCCTTGTACTCTAGGAGGCACACCTGTCTTTTACAGTCTGCAAGTCATTCTCTAGGCCTTCCTTTGATCATCTGGTCAATGGTTTTCTTTTTTATGTGTTTTTTTTTTTCTTTTTTTAACTTATCCTTTTTGGCCAATGATTTTCAAAGTGGGGTAAAAGGAGTTTGGGACTGCAGATCATATGATGTCCATTGCTCATGGTCAGTGACACTCTCACCCCATTGGCCATCTGTCCATCTCCCTATGGGTTAGTCATCCACACAGTCCTGGCTGGCCATCTGTATGTGGAGACCAGCTATCTATAATCTCATTATAAATTCCTTTTGGCCAGCAACCCATCTGACCACTGACCAGTCATTCATCCTCACATGGTCCGCCACCCACCTTCCCCATTGGCCAACCACTCCCATTCCCATGGGCTGACCTTCCACACACCCACTGGCCAGCCCACACCTCCACTCGCCCTGTTAGGGACCCTCATGTGGCCTCCTGTGGCCAGGGGCCTGGACCACAACTCCCTCCCTCACTCACCCCGGGGTCGGGTCACAGCCATGACCATGATGGGGACCCCAACACCCGAGGCCAGGACCCAGATGCAGATGTTGATAAGCTTGGCCTTGGCAGGTGTGCGAAAGTCCAGAGCCTTGACAGGGTGGCAGACGGCGACGTAGCGGTCGACACTCATCATGGTGAGCGTGAAGATGCTGGTGAACATATTGTAGTAGTCAATGGAGAGCACGGCCTTGCAGAGCAGCTCCCCGAAGGGCCATGTCTCCATCAGGTACTTGGCGCTCTGGAAGGGCAGCGTGCTGGTGGCCAGCGCATCGGCCAAGGCCAGGTTGAAGATGTAGATGTTGGTGGCTGTCTTCAACTTAGTGTACCTTAGAAACAAGTACATGGAAAATTATCCCACTTCACAGACCTCAGGTTCCACTAAACGCAGGGAGATGAAGTGACTTGCCCCAGGTCACACAAACCGTCAGGGGCAGAGGCAGGACTAAAACCCAGAGCCATCTGGTTCAGTATCACTCCTTCTCACTACAGCAGATGTGAAAGGATTTCTCTGGTGGGTGACTTTGGCAGAGTATTTTAGGAAAAGCCCTTATCTTCCAAGAGGTACTATGAAAGATGGTTACAGAGAACAATAGCTCTAGAGGAAATCAGATAGGAGTTCTAATCTTCCCTCTACTATCTATTAGCTGAGTGACTCTGGGATAGTAGCTCGAACCCCGAGCCTCAACACCCTTAACTGTAAAATAGGAGATACACTTGTAGGGAAGGTTGTGAAAATTTAATGAGACAATCTAGAACTTAGCCCTGAGCCCAGTGATTTGTAAACATGTAGGAAAAGGGCTGGGGGTGTGACTCACTGGTAGAGCACTTTCCTAGCAAGTACAAGGCCCTGGGTTTGATCCCCAGCACCAAAAAAAGAAAGGGAGGAAGAGAGGGAGAGAAAGAGGGAGGAATGGAGGGAGGGAGGGAGGAAAGAAAAATCCCACACAGGATAGGAATGAGCTGGAGGCCAGACCTTCTACCACTGACCTAGTCTTTTGGGACATGGCTGAGGAAGAAACTCTGCCTGGACGTTGAGAGTCCTCTGAGGGAACACACAACTCTTGGTCATTTCTTGGCCCCATCACCCCTCTGTGGAAGCCATTGTACATCCCCCATGGTGTGGGGAAGGTAAGCCATTGATAGTGTCACACATCCAACCCAGGGCCTAAGCCCAGGTGTCAAGCCAGATGTGTGCAACCAAACTCCACACCTGACATCCTGCAGCTGCCTATCCCACAACTGGCCCCTTGTCTGGCTAACATTTATAGTCATGGGCTGAGCTGGACACTGGGTAGCCTGTGTATTTCAGAAACAGTTCCCCAAGACTTATGTCATGCCTAGACTGGTATGAGAGCCAGAAAAGGACTCCCAGCTTGAGTTTCTCCTCACAGATCAGAGCAGAAAGAGGCCTGAGAGATGGTCTGTGTGTGTGTGTGTGTGTGTGTTTGTGCTGGGGGGTGGTTATTAAAGACTCCCTTTGCAACTACTGTGAGAAATGCAGATTCCTGAACCCACCTCAGATCTGCTTTTATCCCTGAGAGCTGAGGATGGAACCCAGGGTGTAACGTATGCTAAGAAAGAACTCTACCACTGAGCTCCAACCCCAAGCCCAGATCTGTTCAATCTTAATGTCTGGAACTGGGGCTTGGGAATCTGCATCTTTAAAAGCACCCCCCACCCCCCCCACACACAATCCAATGATTCTTATGAACTCAAGTCTGACAATCATTATGCAGCCTAAAACTCTTATTTGGGAGACAGAGAGAGAGAGAGAGAGAAATTGAAGCATAGAGAGGCAGCACAACTCACCCAAGGTCACACAGCAATAGCAGCAGAACAAAGGTGAGAACTTAGACCTCCTGATTCCCTGTGCTCTCTCTCCACTCTACCCCAAGGGTGGCACCACACTGTGTGCCTCTCTCCACCCTTTCAGTTTTACAGTCCTTCTGCTACCACCCAGGATGAGGGCACTCGGTTTTTGAAGGACTGAACCAACACATTTGCTGAAATTGTTCCTTTATTATGTGATGGGGTTGGGTTTTTGGTTTTTGTTTTGTTTTCCTTTTTAAAAAGGACTCACTCATTGTCCTTCAGGATTTCTGTCCCACTCCTTCCCAAAATAGTTGCTATTTGCTCTGGGGCTGGAGAAACAAAAAGTTTTGCTGGGTGACAGCAGAATCACAGGTCTCAGAAAGTCTGTCTCCAGTGGGGTGCAGATCACAGCTGTGTGGGAGGCGGTCCCCAGCCCACAGCTGACTCGTCTAATTTCCCTGCTCTTAGGCAGAACAATTTAAGGCTGTTCTTCGCCTGCTATTTTGATTTGTGAAGGATCCTTCTATTCCCAGAGGGGGCTGGGGTGTTGGGAAGCCAGAGCTGAAGCTACTGGAGTTTGGAGCCCCTCCCCTCGCCACCCCTCTCTTGTCCCCCATAGCCACACCCTGTCCCAATGGCCTCCTAGGCTTCCTTCTCCAGCCCCAAGACAAATCATGTCCTACTCCTGTTCACAACCCCATTGACTCCCCAAAGTTCCCTTTCTGTTCCACAACCTGGCTCCAACCACCTCTAGGACCCCAGCTCCCCATGCCATTCTGTCATCTGATATGCCCCACCTGCCTACACTGTCTCCTTGCTGCTCCTTGGACATGCCAGGCTAAGCTCACCTCAGGCCTCTCCACTGGAACCCTCATCTCCCACACTGGGTCTGGCTTGCTCCTTCACTTAATTTAGGCTCTACTCAAATGTCACCTCCAAATAGAGGCCCTCCCTGACCACCATATCTAAAGGACCTCTCTGCCCCTATTTCCCTAATCTTTTTTTTTTTTTTTTGCAGTACTAGAATTTGAACTCAGGGCCTCACGCTTGCTAGGCAGGTGCTCTAGCACTGGAGCCACTCTGCCAATCCTTTTTTGTATGGGGTTTTTTTAAGATAGGGTCTTGCAAATCATTTTCCCCAGGCTGGCTTTAAACAGTAATACTCATCTCTGCCTCCCAAGTAGCTAGGAAAACAGGTGCGCTCAGCTGCTGCTTTACTTTTTTTTATAGCACAAACCATCTCCTTGCATTATCACTAAATACTTGTCTCTGTGAGCTGGGCTCTTGCTCATGTGAGTTCCTTAAAAGTAGGGGACATTGTCTATTCTGTTCCCTATTAAAAGTGCAGACAGCAGGCTCCTGTAGACACACTTATGTTCCCCAAGTTAATTTCCCACACAAGTCAGGCTGCTTGCTCTGAAAGGCATATCTGCTCAGGATACAGTTCCCCACGGCCACTTTGGCAAACAGGCCACAGGGTGCCTCCTTCCTACCGCGCCTTCCTATGCCTGGTCACATCTATGCTTCCTCAGACCTTTCTAGCAGGCCCTCCTTCACCAGGGACAGCCACTGCAATGGTTTGGGGGATCTTTCCAAACTCCCTATATGAAAGTAGCTTTTGAGAAAATGTTATTCCTGTAATCCCACAAGAGTGTAAAATGTCAACTGTGGTCCTTCTTCTCACTCTCTTTTCTCGTCCTCTCTTCTCTGTCCTGATCCCCAGAGGCAAAAACTGTTACTGTTTTTAACTATTTTTGGTGATTAGTTCCATAATAAAGAATGTGCTAGAAGCTGGGTGCCAGTGGGTCACGCCTGTAATCCTAGCTACTCAGGAGGCAGAGTGGTGGCTCACACCTACTATCCCAGCTACTTGGAAGGCTGAGATCAGGAGGATCACAGTTCGAGGCAATCCCAGGCAAATAGTTCACAAAACCCTTCTAACTCCAAAATAATAAGATGGACCGAAGGTGTGGCTCGAGCCATAGAGCAACTGCTTTGCAAGTGTAAAGCCCTAAGTTCAAACCCCAGTCTCATCAGAAAAAAAAAGTGTGCTTAGGTTATTTCTTGATTTGTCAAGTTTAGACAATACTTGCTGAAGTTTGTATTTGATTAAGCAAGGGTATGCAGCAGTAACAATCCCAAAAATCTCAATGGCTCAACACACTGAAGGTTGATTCTTCACCTTTGCAGAGTCCTTTCAATATCACCAGGATCTCATATTCCCCAAGGAAGTTCCAGGCTGCTTCACTTTCGTGGCTCTGCCATCTTAACTCACCACAGAGGAAGACGACGCAGCTGCAGGGTCATCTAAGAATTTGTCAGGCAGCTGTATATTTCTTCCACCTGATGCCTAATGGTCAGCAGTAGCTTGGTCCTGCCCACCTGCTAGGGGCTGAGAAATAGTCTTCTCTGTGTCCCAAAGCAGGGAGAATGAGAAAAGCATTAAAAAACAGGGTTTACATTATTGTGTGTGTGTGTGTGTGTGGTACTGGGGTTTGAACTCAGGGCATACACCTTGAGCCACATCACCAGCCCTTTTTTTGTGATGGGTGGTTTTTTTTTTTTTTTTTTTTTTTTTTTTTTATCAGATACGGTCTCCTGAACTATTTGCCCAGGCTGACTTCAAACCTCGATCCTCCTGATCTCTTCCTCCTGAGTAGCTAGGTTTACGGGCGTGAGACACCAGCACCCAGTTTTTTTCTTTTTTCTTCCACCCCAGCCTCTTGAGCAACTGGGTGTACAGGTATGCACCACCATGTCCAGAGCTTTCTTTAGGGTTTATATTCTTATCACTTTGTTGTACATTGTCTACTTCTGAGTCAAAGAGTATACTATAATTACATTTTTTTTTTTGGCAGTAATGGGCCTCACTTGCAAGGTAAGCATGCTACCACTTGAGCCACTCCACTAGTCCTGTTTTTTTGTTGTGTATTTTTTGAGGTAGAGTCTCAAGAACTATTTGTCTTGGCTGGCTTTGAACCATGATCCTCTTGATCTCTACCTCCTGAGTAGCTAGGATTACAGGCGTGAGCCACTAGTGCCTGGCTACATTGGTTTTCTAGTACAGGGTTTTTGGGGGTTTTTTTCCCCTAGAATAATTGCCTCTTATTTCATTTGTTTAGTTCTATGTACATATTGCTAAGTCTCCTCAAACACATCAATAGACCTGTAAAATGCCTTTTCCATTTAGTCACATAATCTATCAGTGATCTACCTCCCAGACCCTTACTCCTCCCCTTTCACCCTGGAGTCTGGTTACTATCTTAGACCAACTGTACACCTATCCTCCTCTGTTAGAGCATTTGTTTCCTGACTCAAAAGTCTCTATGATGGTTTACACCCTCATTTTAGTGGAGCACATCCTCTAGTCACTTCTGGAGAAAGGGCACAAAGGAGGCAAAGTTTTGATTCCCTTGTTCGTCTGACAATGTTTTTATTCTATCCTCACTTCTGATTCCTTCAACTGTATACAGAATGATAGGGAAATAATTTTCCATCCACAACCTGAAGGCTC